TGTGCGGCGTGACCTTCGAGGCCTTCGTCCCAGGTACAGTTGGGGGCGCGGCGCTGCTGGGAAGGCCCGGAGGCTTGTCGAGACGGGCCTCGCCGGCGCGGGAGCTTTGCGGCTGGGGCGGGTCGCCTCGCTCGAGCCATCCGCCGCACAAGTCCGCGTGGCCGCCGCCGCGCTGCTCGTCGGCAGGGTGGCCGCGTCTGGCGGGCCCTCTCCGTCGCCTCCACCGCCCTCTCCGTTCTCGCCGCCGCCACCCTCGCCGCCGCCACCTCCGCCGCCGCCGCCGACACCGCCTCTTCTACCCGACATGGTGCAGCTGAGCTGCGATTTCGAGGGTGACACTTGCATCTGGAACGACACCGCGCCGGACGGGTACACTTGGACGCGCACGAGCGGCGGCACGCCGTCGCCAGGCACAGGCCCGAGCGGCGACCACACCACTGGCTCGGGCTACTACATCTTCACCGAGGCCACTGGAACGTACAACAAGCTGCACCGACTCGAGAGCCCGCGCTTCTCGCTCCAGCAGGACGCCACCCTCTCCTTCTTCTACCACATGTACGACTCCCACAGCTCGGACATGGGCACCCTCTCCGTCGAGACCTACAACAACGAGATGGGCTGGTCGACGCTCTGGAGCAGGAATGGCAACCAGGGCAATAGCTGGCTCGACGCGGCGGTCATCCTACCCGCCTCGACGACTCAGGTGCGCTTCAACGGCGAGACGGGGCCGGGCTGGAGCTCTGCGCTCGACGAACTGCCTGCGCGAGGTCCGCGCCGCGCTGGAGATGGGCAAGCCGCTCGTGCTCGTCCACGAGGCAGACCCGGACAAGGGCGGAGGCACGCTCGCCGAGCTGCGATCCGAGTGCCCCGAGGAGCTGCGGGCCGCCATCTTTGACGCCGGCTGGCCGATGGCGGTGTGGCATCGGATCGAGGCCTTCCAGCACGTCTCGCTCAAGGTCATCGCCGAGGCGCTGCTGCTGAAGACGCCAAAGTTCGCGGGCGAGGACGAGCTGCCCCTGTGCATCCCGGGCGAGGTCCGAGCCGTCGACCTCGCCCCTCCCAAGCCGGTGGTTCTCTGGGCCTCGACTTTGAACGCCGGGGCGCGAGATCTCGCCGATGCGGTCGCGGCGGCCGTGGCGGGCGGCGTCTCGATCACCGACGCAACGCCCTCGCGCCTCTCCTCGCTGCCTAGCTCGAGCGTCGGCGACCGCGACGGCGACGAGGCGACGCACATGCTGCTTTACCTGAACAGGGCGACGTGGGCCGGCGATGGCGCCGAGGCGCTCGCAGAGCAGGTGCGCGCCGCGCGCCGCGCCAGGCTGCCGATCGTCATGGCGCACGAGAACGACGCCGCCTGCGGCGGCTGCATCTTTGGGCACTTTTTCGAGGTGACGCCGCGCGACCTGATCGCCGATGGGCTGTACCACGACCTCGCCGTCGGTTGCCACTCGGGCCCGCACCGGCAGGTGTCGCTCGCCCTCCTCGCACAGGCGCTCGGCGCGACCAAGCAGACCGCTCAGTCGCGCGCGCGCCGCGCCACCGCCCTCGCTCTAGCGATCCGCGACCCCTCTACACAAGCGGAGCCGACAAATGGCGACGACGTTGTGGAAGCGTCAGCGACGCAGGACCGCCAGATCGTCTGAGCGGACGACCTTCACGCTGCACAGCACACGCCACGGACGCGCGCGTCAGAGGGGGCTCAGGGCGCTACTGGTTTGTTGATAAAAGGATGGTGTAAATTTGGTGTCGCATACTTTAAGGGCAGGGCGAACCTCGATATGGTAAAGTAGAGTCCAGAGGCCAGGACCAGCGCTTGCGCTGTGCGCTGCGAAATAAAACTCATCGCGAGAGGGAGAGTGCCTCTGCCAGAGGTAGAGGGTGCGCAGCGTCCTAACTAATCTAAAATCTGAGGTTCTCGGGTCCGAGGGCAGCCTCAACTGGAGTAGGGAAATTTGGATTTTGGTCAAACGCCTGCTGGGGGCAGCTTCGCGGAGGGCCGGCACCCGCCCGAGCGCGAAGGGCCTGCACAGCGCTACCTTGCAATTTGTGTGAGAGTCGAGCGGACATTGAAATGCGCCAGCCGCGCCACAACGGCGGGGAGGGAGAGGTCACAGCGAGCCGGTGACGGACACGGCGGACACAGCGGCACCGCGGACGCCGTACGTTTTCTTTTCTATATGGACTCGCGTCGCTAACTCGCTGAGGGCGCTGGTAGGCGAACACAGCGCTTGTCCACGACGGCCGCCGCCAGCTGAGTGAGCTGAACCAGCGAGATGCACGGCTTGCCGGTGGGGAAGAGCGCGTCCACCTCGGCCATCCCCCCCGACGCGTCTTCGAAGCGGGTGTAGAGGAAGCTGGCGCACACGGCAGTGGCACCTCCCGCCGCCGTCGCGGTCAGACGGAGCATCCCTCCCGGGACGGTGGTGTTTGCCGGGTAGGGCGGCGCCGCCGGCCAGCCGAGGCCGAGCAGGGCGCTCAGGCCGTCGAGGTTTGTGTCGTGGCCGACGTACAGGCTCGCGCCGCCGCCTTGCGGGCTCGCGCCGCCGGCGCCGCTCGCGAGGTCTCTCAGCACGTGCGCGAGCAGGTTGGACTCGCCTCGCCGCTCGATCGAGAGGCCGCGGTCGGCGATGGCGCGGTAGTAGACGTGCAGCTCGAGCATCTCGTACAGCTGCGGCGGGGCCACGCGGCCGTACGCCATCGGAAGGCCGGCGCCAAACTGCAGCAGCATCGCCTCGATCCACGAGCTCGCCACGAACGAGCCGCCCAGCCAGCCGACGGCGCCGCCCGCCACCACGTCCGGGATGGACTGCAGCGGCGGCGCGACCCCGCGCCCGAGCAGCGCCTGCAGCGCCGCCAGCCGCCCCTCATACCGCGCCGGCCGAGGCACGGCTTTGAGCCGCGCGCGCACCGCCCGCTCCTTTGCGGCGGCGGTGAGTTGCGGGCACCAGGGCGGGTCAAAGACGGCGGCGTCGCCCACGCGCGCAATGCTCGGCAGGCCAAGGCCCGCGAGGAGGTCCTCGGCCGTGGTGTTGTCGCGGGTCGAGCCCGCGTCGTAGGTCACCTTGAGGCGTCCCGGCGCAGGCCCCATCCGTCCGAGGATCTCGCCGCGCAGCGAGCGGCCTTGCCCCTGGATGATGCGGCGGCCGCGCGCGGTGCACAGCGTCGGCGCGACGCCCCAATCCGGCAGGTCGCCGCCGTCGGAGTAGTTGGCGAGGTACGCGGGCCGCTGGCCGCCGTAAAGGTCGGGCAGGTACGTCGACCTCGCGCAGTGGCGCATGATGTAGACGGTGGAGGAGGAGGGCGGGGATGCGGCTGCGATCAGGAGCAGGACGAGCACCATATCGCGAGGCGTTTGTCCGTGTGGGCTGGTGCGTTGCGGCGGTGAGACGAAGGCGGCCGTGACGCCCGCCGAGTGCGCTTCTTGCTTTTCTGCGTTTCCCCCCCAAATCCGCGTTTTCCGGAGCGGCGCGGCCCCAGTTTCCGGAGGGCTGGGGCCCCCGGCGCTCCAGCCTTCCGGAGCGCCCTCGTGGCGCCGTCTGCCGCCCGAGACCGCGTCGCCGAAGATAAGATTCTTCAATTTTCTCGCGGCGCGGCCGTAGCGGCCCGAAACGGCGCGCGTGCGCGGCGGGGTGTGGGTATACTAGTAAGGCTAAGGGGTGTCTGGGACTGGGTGACATGACATATGGTTGTGTTCTTGCATTTTTGCTCCCGGCTGAGGGAGCAAGCAAGCCCACTCAACCCCAAGTACTCACCATTCTTACAGTGGTGTAGCTTGTGCAGAGGCTGCAGCCTCTGCTGGGGCGGAATGCGCGGGGTTTTCGGCGCGATGCCCTCGGCGAGTACACGCTACTGCTGTGCCGCACGCTCTCCTGCGCGCGCGTGACGTGTGGGACGCGTGCGCTGCGCTCAAACGTCGCGATTTGGCGATAGGCGCGCGAGCCGGCGCACAGCGGACGGGTGCGCCGCGCAGGGGGGGTCGGGGGGGTGCGAGAGGGGGCGTGGGTCGGGCGCGCATCGGCCGGCTCCGGGAGCGGCCGTCACGTCGAGGAGGGGGGGTGTCGGCGGCTCGAGCGCCGAGGCGTGCCGCTGCTGTGCCGTCGACAGCCCCTCTTCCGAGCCGGCGCGCGGCGGCGAGCCGCGGCCAGTGTCGCTGGTGCGGGGGCGGCGCAGCGTTTATCCCCCCCCCCCCCCCGGCGCCCGCCCGCCCGCCCGCCCGCCCTCAGGCCTTGCCCCTCCGCAGGCGCAGGAGCGCTCGCCGGCGAGCACCTCCTACCTCTCGTCGCCCGGCTGCTCCCTTTCCCCGTCACCCGCCGCGCCCTCGCCCGGCCGCCTCACCGCGCACGGAGCGCTCGGCGGCTCGCCGCCGCCGCCGCGCGTCCCGCGCTTCCACGCTTGCCCCCTCTCCTGACGCGCACCCCGCGCAGACGGCGCTCCGGGACAGACGGAGCAGCGACCGCGCTCAGCGGTCGCTGCTCCGCCCCTCCGTCGCGCGCGCTGCGCGCGCGCTGCGCCGCTGCCGCCGCGCCCCCCTCGCCGTCTGTTTCCCGCCGTACTCGAGTATGGTGTGCGGTGCGCGCACGCGCAACGCACACAGCAGCCTCCCCACCCCCCTACCCACCCCGTCGCGCCGCCGCCGCCGCCGCCGCCGCCGCCGCCGCCCCCGCTGTAGCGTTTGGGGGGGCGACTGGCGACGGCAAAAATGCAAGCCCCGCCCCTGGCCACTGTATTGCATGTCGATATAAGAACTCACTCACACACGTGCCACGTCAGCAAGGCCGCGGTTGTCACGGAACCTTGAAGACGGTCCCTCGCGGCAGCTCGCTATGGCTCGGCAGCATGGGTGACCCGCCGGCGTCGAGACGCGTTTCGTAGTGGCGCGCGACGTAGCCGATGGGCCAGTTGTGGTAGCCGAGCAGGCGCAAGCCGACGTCCTGCAAAAAGTTGCCCGAGCTGGGCGGTGGGAAGGAGGCGCGCTCCGCGGAGCCCGTCACGTCGTAGCAGTAGCAGAGCGGCAGGGCGAAGTTGGTCGACGGCACGATGTCGTCCGAGTTGAGAAAGTGCTCGGCAAAGTCGGCATCGCGCCCAAAGAGGCGCGCTCCCGACGTGCGTCGCCCATCGTCCCACGGCGCGCCCACCTCGTCCGCGCGCGCGCAGAACGGGTCGCAAAGTGTCAGCCGGGTGGTCGCACGCTCCGGGCCCGCTGCTGCAACGTAAGCCGCGATGCACTCGTTGCCCGCAAACCCGCCCGCCGAGGTCGCGCTCACGTGCAGCGAGCGCAAGCCCTTGCGTTGGGCGAGCGCCTGGCCGAGCTTGCGGCCGAGCGCCTGGCCGGTGTACGAGATGCGCTCCGCCGTTGCCGCGTCGAGCCACCGCCTCCACACGAAGACGTGCACAAAGCGGTCGAGGCCCGCCGCCTTGTCCTGCGCGATGATGCGCGCCTGCAGGTCGGCGTCCTCTCGATCGGGCCCGCCGCGGCCGTGAAAGTGCAGGTAGACGTGCTGCTCCGTGAACTCGGGTAGCACAGCCGCGCTGAGGTCAGCAGGATCCGCCCGGTAATCGGCCTCAGTGAAGGCACAGCCGGGCTGCCGGCAGCGGAGATGTCTCCGGAGAGGGTTTGCTGACAAACCTGGAGTCCGGAGCAGCGCCGGCAAGAAGGCGGCAGACAGCAGTGCGAGCATATGCACAACGCGGCCAGCTGTGTTTGAGGCAGTTTACTCCGACTCGGGTTCGGGCTCTCGGCTGATATGGGGAGCGTGCCGTGAGTCGTCCGAGGCCTCAGTTCGCATCTTGTGGCACCGTTGTCCCCAAACTCGCATCTTGTGAGCTTGCTAGAGGAAGTAACACACCCACCTACCTCGCACCGCTCCAAGCGCTGCGAGTGCCAGCCACCGCGCTGCGCGCCGCTTTCCTAAAACGCGCCCCTCACGCGGAGATCCCGGGCACGCTCAGGAGCGGGCCGCTTGGCACCAGCGCCGCCGGGAGGAGCGGCGCGTTGTGCAGCGCCACCAGCGTCGACCAGACGCCGGGCACGACGTGCAGCCCCCACGGGTGCCACCGCTCGTACAGCCGCTTGTCGAAGTTGGTGACGACAAAGGCGCCGAGGGTGAGGGCGAAGCAGCCGCTGTTTGCGGCGAGGAGCGCCGCGTCGGGGCTGCGCAGCGTCTGCGCCGCCCCGTACAGGAAGAGCAGCTTGGCGCTCAGCCCCTCACCCTGCGCCAGCAGCCCGGGTCGCTCGTAGTTCCAGTGGTAGAGCAGCGAGAGCGAGAGCACGGCGCTCTGTATTGCGACCAGCTCCGGCAGCGGCGCGGCGCGGGTCGCCGCGACGAGGATGCCAGGCACAAAAGCCACCTATCACAGTTGCTGTCCTGGATGAGGTGCCTCCGTGCTATCGCCCGCCGTGCTCTACCTACCTCCGTGCTATCGTCCGCCAAAATGATGCGTCCGGTGGCCATCTCTCGGCGACGAGACTCCACCGGTCCGCCTGTGGGTGTGGCGCTGCGAGCTGGGCGTTGCCCATCTATCTCTTGGCGACATGGGTCCACAGCTGCGGGTCGCTCCAGCTGCGCCGCTCGCCCGGCTTGAGGCCTCGGCGCACCTGCGCGGCGTGGGAGCGATCCGAGCAGCGGGCCATAGTGAGACCGAAGCAAGTAGCAGAGGCGAACCTGCCCTGTGCCGGGCGTCGTCACGAGGGATACGAGCCTATCGCAGGAGGCACGGATGTGACCTTTGTGCAATGGTGTTTCGATGGTGTGACCCACACACCTCTCCCAAGCAGGCACGTCAGCCTTCCACTCTGGCGCAGGGACGTCGCGCTTTGGCGTATTGGATGCCATCGTGGCGCTGTGGCCTGCCTGGCTTGGCCGCCTGGAGAAAGAGCGAGCGAAGAGCATGGGATCGGCCCAGCCGATGCGGAAAAAGAGAATTTTTTTCGTAAAGAGAAAGATACGAACCAATTTTACCATCCCTCCCTTGGGTTGTCTGTTTTCTTTCTTTCTTTTTACCAATTTTACAAGAAAACTCGCTCGCACAACACTGGGCACGGGACTGGCGCGCACTGGCACTAACACAGGAACACAACAACCTGTCTCCTCTGAACAGCGATCCCAAAAGAAAAATCGTAGGAAGAAAACGGGGCGGAAAACGATTCGGGGGGGCAATCCCTCAAGTCCTCCCCTCCCTCCTTTGGGCCGTCTGTTTTCTTTCTTTTTACATCCAAGCCCAGCGTGACGTGCGAGCGCTCACCCGTAACACCGCACCTTCTCCGGCGCGTTCTTCGCCGCGTTTTGGCCGCCCTTCTGCAGGTAGCGCTGGTGGTAGTTCTCGGCGGGGTAGAAGACCCGCGCCGGCAGCATCTCCGTCACCACCGGCGCAGACTGTTTCGCCTGCTCGAGCTCGAGCGCCCGCCTCGCCGCCTCGGCCTGCTCGGGCGTGTGCGAGTAGATGCCGTGGCGGTACTGCGTGCCGCGGTCGTTGCCGACGCGGTTGCGCGCCGTCGGGTCGACCGTCGAGAGGAGCTTGGCGCAGAGGCTCTCGTAGCTGCACTCGGACGGGTCAAAGAGCAGCTGCAGCGCCTCGGTGTGGCCCGTCGTGCCAGAGCACACTTGCTCGTAGGTGGGCGCCGGAACGCCGCCCTGCGTGTAGCCCACGCAGGTCGCGACGACGCCCGGGATGCGTTGGAAGTGCAGCTCGGTGCCCCAGAAGCAGCCTCCCGCAAACGTCGCCACCTCAAAGCCGTCCGGCGACTGGGTCGGCACCTCGCCCGCCGCGGCCCAGGCGCCCGCCTCCTTGGCGAGAGAGCCGACGTCTCGGCCGTCGAGGGCCGCGTAGTCGATCTTACCGATCAGGCCCATCCCTTTGGCGAGCGAGACGCACGCAAAGCCAAAGAAGAAGACGTCGAGCGCCAGCGGGGCGAGAGCCTCGCTCGGCCCGTCGGAGAGGAGGCGTGGCACCTTCTCCGACAGCCCGTACACCGCCGTCGCACCGAGAGCGGTGTACAGCACCGTGGGAATGGACGGTAGGGAAGGTCCCGCCTCCTCCTCCAGCATTGCGACCTGCAGCTGCCGCCAGCGTGCCAACGTGTGCGGCTGCGGCCAGCGCGACGATTCTGGCGTTAGCGTTCGAGCGCGGGCGGCGAAGCCGGCGGCGGCGACGACAACGGCGAGCATGTATGCGCCGGGCGTGCGATCCGTGCACGGTGGGAGCCAAGATCGCAGACAAGAGAGAGAGACAGCGATGTGATGCCGGGCTCAGAAAAAGAAAAAAACACTTGGTTAAGGTAGCTGCAAACCCTTGGCGCACGCATATCTTGGATGGCCGGCATGGGGCCTGAGGCGTCGCCCATGCTTGCCATGTGCGAGTAGATGGTAGAATGCGCTAGTAGGCTCATCGCGCAAGGTCGGGATCGCAAGTTATGCCCGCATCAAGCGCCAGTTCAGAGTCGTCCAGAGTCGTGGCACACACGCCGTGGCAGGCCGTGTAGCCACTGAGATGGCCTTATGACGACCCCGTTTCGGCATCGTCCCCAAGGCCTCTGCTCATGAGCTCCACGCGGGAATGACTGGCTCAAACAACTGATCACAAATTCCCACGATATCTCACAAAGCGCCAAAATTCTTCCTCGTGACAGCATAATTCGACGACTCTGATGTTGCAGAGAGAATTTGTGATCAGTTGGTTCAGCCAATCATTCCCGCATGGAGCTCATGAGCAGAGGCCTTAGGGACGGTGTCGAAACGGGGTCGTCATAAGGCCATCTGAGCAACCACGCCGTCCGCCGTCGCAGCACAATCGCCAGGGTGGCGAGCGCCGCACACAGCACTGCTCGTGCCGGTCAAGAGAGACGCGTCGGTCACAAGCACATCTAGCGCGTCCTTTGATGCTGTCTGTCGGTCCCGGGTAGCCTCGGGCGCCAAGGGCGAGCTCAGGCGCGACACACAGCGCGGAACGTCGACTGACGCGAAACTTTCGCGGCAAGAGATTGCAGCTACCTTAACTTGTCTTTCTTTGGCGTGCCCGTTTTATTTATTTATTTATTCTTTAATCCCTGTGTGTGGACTGTGCGCGGCGTGTCCGTGTGCCGGCCTTCCGTCCGCGCACTTTCTTTTATTTTCTTTGTTTCGAGTATCGAGACAACTAGCTACTAGGAGAGACAGAGGTTTGTTTTCTTTGTGACAACTCCATGCACAACATGTACATGTGACTTAAAATTCAAAATCTTAATCGTTATTGATATGGCGCAAAAACCGCATCACGTTGTCGCCCGCGGTCTATAGTGCACGTTGTTGGGTCTCTCCCCCCATGCTTTGTGAGGCCACGCGGGGCACGCGCACCCCTCTGTGGGAGACTACGGCTCTGCTGTAGCCTCTCGGTGCGACAGTTTGCTCGGAACCATCATCCGATGCACTCGAGATCCGATGGTCACCATGGCTCCGAGCAGACCTGGCGAGCCTACCCGCGCCCGCGTCCCTGGCGCGGCACGCCGCCGCTCCTCCGCCCTAGCACTTCCCATCAGCGGGCGGCGGCGCGCGCGGCGAGGACGCCGCACGCGAAGCCGCACGCGGCCGCCGCCGCGAGGAGCGGCGCTCGCAGCGCGGCCCCTCCCTTGTCCGAGGGCGGGGGCCCCGAGGCGGCGAGCGGCGGCGGCAGCGCGCGCGGGAGCGGCGTGTGGCGGAAGTGCGCGCGTCCGGCGCTGTAGTCTGCGGCGACGTGGCCCCCGCCGAGCAGG